GTATTCGAGAAATTTGACAAAATATAAAAAAAAATAATTTTTTATAAAAATTGTTCAAATAAAAGTTGTTTGTATTATAATTCTCTATAATTTTTATTCTATACATAATTTCTCTGAAATGGACCGTATTCGAGATATTTGAGAAAAGGTGTAAATTTCGAATTTTGAAGAAAACTCAAAAACGGATAAAGAAAAGAACATTAAATTTTAAACTTAAGGTTTATTTCGGCCTGACGTGAAATGATTAGATTTTGGACAAAGTCGGAACATCTAGGGGGTACTTTATGGGAGGCCGTTTTTATATTTTATGGAATATATCTGTTATTTATGTTTGGAGAAGAAAATTGTTCAAATAAAAGTTACTTCTAATATTGTTATCTATAATTTTTCCTTATGTCAAAATTTCCTTAAATGGTCCGTATTCGAGAAATTTGACAAAACGTAAAAAAAATAATTTTTCATAAAAATTGTTCAAATAAAAGTTGTTTGTATTATAATTCTCTATAATTTTTATTCTATACATAATTTCTCTGAAATGGACCGTATTCGAGATATTTGAGAAAATGTGTAAATTTCGAATTTTGAAGAAAACTCAAAAACGGATAAAGAAAAAAACATTAAATTTTAAACTTAGGGTTTATTTCGGCCCGACGTGAAATGACTAGATTTTGGACAAAGTCGGAACATCTAGGGGGTACTTTATGGGAGGCCGTTTTTATATTTTATGGAATATATCTGTTATTTACGTTTGGAGAAGAAAATTCTTCAAATAAAAGTTACTTCTAATATAATTATCCATAATTTTTATTCTATACAAAATTTTCCTAAAATGGTCCGTATTCGAGAAATTTGACAAAACGTAAAAAAAATAATTTTTCATAAAAATTGTTCAAATAAAAGTTGTTTGTATTATAATTCTCTATAATTTTTATTCTATACATAATTTCTCTGAAATGGACCGTATTCGAGATATTTGAGAAAATGTGTAAATTTCGAATTTTGAAGAAAACTCAAAAACGGATAAAGAAAAAAACATTAAATTTTAAACTTAACGTTTATTTCGGACTGACGTGAAATGATTAGATTTTGGACAAAGTCGGAACATCTGGGGGATACTTTATGGGAGGCTGTTTTTATATTTTATGGAATATATCTGTTATTTACGTTTGGAGAAGAAAATTCTTCAAATAAAAGTTACTTCTAATATAATTATCCATAATTTTTGTTCTATACAAAATTTTCCTAAAATGGTCCGTATTCGAGAAATTTGACAAAATGTAAAAAAATAATTTTTTATAAAAATTGTTCAAATAAAAGTTGTTTGTATTATAATTCTCTATAATTTTTATTCTATACATAATTTCTCTGAAATGGACCGTATTCGAGATATTTGAGAAAATGTGTAAATTTCGAATTTTAAAGAAAACTCAAAAACGGATAAAGAAAAAAACATTAAATTTTAAACTTAACGTTTATTTCGGCCTGACGTGAAATGATTAGATTTTGGACAAAGTCGGAACATCTAGGGAGGTACTTTATGGGAGGCCGTTTTTATATTTTATGGAATATATCTGTTATTTACGTTTGGAGAAGAAAATTCTTCAAATAAAAGTTACTTCTAATATAATTATCCATAATTTTTGTTCTATACAAAATTTTCCTAAAATGGTCCGTATTCGAGAAATTTGACAAAATGTAAAAAAAATAATTTTTTATAAAAATTGTTCAAATAAAAGTTGTTTGTATTATAATTCTCTATAATTTTTATTCTATACATAATTTCTCTGAAATGGACCGTATTCGAGATATTTGAGAAAATGTGTAAATTTCGAATTTTGAAGAAAACTCAAAAACGGATAAAGAAAAAAACATTAAATTTTAAACTTAACGTTTATTTCGGCCTGACGTGAAATGATTAGATTTTGGACAAAGTCGGAACATCTAGGGGGTACTTTATGGGAGGCCGTTTTTATATTTTATGGAATATATCTGTTATTTATGTTTGGAGAAGAAAATTGTTCAAATAAAAGTTACTTCTAATATTGTTATCTATAATTTTTCCTTATGTCAAAATTTCCTTAAATGGTCCGTATTCGAGAAATTTGACAAAACGTAAAAAAAATAATTTTTCATAAAAATTGTTCAAATAAAAGTTGTTTGTATTATAATTCTCTATAATTTTTATTCTATACATAATTTCTCTGAAATGGACCGTATTCGAGATATTTGAGAAAATGTGTAAATTTCGAATTTTGAAGAAAACTCAAAAACGGATAAAGAAAAAAACATTAAATTTTAAACTTAGGGTTTATTTCGGCCCGACGTGAAATGATTAGATTTTGGACAAAGTCGGAACATCTAGGGGGTACTTTATGGGAGGCCGTTTTTATATTTTATGGAATATATCTGTTATTTACGTTTGGAGAAGAAAATTCTTCAAATAAAAGTTACTTCTAATATAATTATCCATAATTTTTATTCTATACAAAATTTTCCTAAAATGGTCCGTATTCGAGAAATTTGACAAAACGTAAAAAAAATAATTTTTCATAAAAATTGTTCAAATAAAAGTTGTTTGTATTATAATTCTCTATAATTTTTATTCTATACATAATTTCTCTGAAATGGACCGTATTCGAGATATTTGAGAAAATGTGTAAATTTCGAATTTTGAAGAAAACTCAAAAACGGATAAAGAAAAAAACATTAAATTTTAAACTTAACGTTTATTTCGGACTGACGTGAAATGATTAGATTTTGGACAAAGTCGGAACATCTGGGGGATACTTTATGGGAGGCTGTTTTTATATTTTATGGAATATATCTGTTATTTACGTTTGGAGAAGAAAATTCTTCAAATAAAAGTTACTTCTAATATAATTATCCATAATTTTTGTTCTATACAAAATTTTCCTAAAATGGTCCGTATTCGAGAAATTTGACAAAATGTAAAAAAATAATTTTTTATAAAAATTGTTCAAATAAAAGTTGTTTGTATTATAATTCTCTATAATTTTTATTCTATACATAATTTCTCTGAAATGGACCGTATTCGAGATATTTGAGAAAATGTGTAAATTTCGAATTTTAAAGAAAACTCAAAAACGGATAAAGAAAAAAACATTAAATTTTAAACTTAACGTTTATTTCGGCCTGACGTGAAATGATTAGATTTTGGACAAAGTCGGAACATCTAGGGAGGTACTTTATGGGAGGCCGTTTTTATATTTTATGGAATATATCTGTTATTTACGTTTGGAGAAGAAAATTCTTCAAATAAAAGTTACTTCTAATATAATTATCCATAATTTTTGTTCTATACAAAATTTTCCTAAAATGGTCCGTATTCGAGAAATTTGACAAAATGTAAAAAAAATAATTTTTTATAAAAATTGTTCAAATAAAAGTTGTTTGTATTATAATTCTCTATAATTTTTATTCTATACATAATTTCTCTGAAATGGACCGTATTCGAGATATTTGAGAAAATGTGTAAATTTCGAATTTTGAAGAAAACTCAAAAACGGATAAAGAAAAAAACATTAAATTTTAAACTTAACGTTTATTTCGGCCTGACGTGAAATGATTAGATTTTGGACAAAGTCGGAACATCTGGGGGGTACTTTATGGGAGGCTGTTTTTATATTTTATGGAATATATCTGTTATTTATGTTTGGAGAAGAAAATTGTTCAAATAAAAGTTACTTCTAATATTGTTATCTATAATTTTTGCCTTATGTCAAAATTTCCTTAAATGGTCCGTATTCGAGAAATTTGACAAAATATGCAAAATTCTGACTTTTGTGAAAATTGTTGAACTAAAAGTTGTTTGCGATATCGATCTCTATAATTTTTGTTTATACATGATTTTTCTAAAATGGACCGTAATGGAAAAATTGTAGAAAGTGCTAAATTTAAATTTTTCAGTATTTTCGTTTTCAATGAATATCTATAGAAAAATGTTACGAGGTAGATGTATGTGGACAATGTATATATTTAGTTTATCCTCTGAACATTTATAGAGATGCTGCGATAGGTTGTACAAAATAACCAGAAAAAGCCTATAATAACTAGATAGGAAAGTCATGTGTTAGACACATCAGATTTTTATTTATAAAATCAAACACTGGTTACTTCCAATGTACTTAAAAGAAGCTTAATTATCACTCTAATGTGCACAATTATCCAACGCAGAACATAAATAACTTTTATATTGAAACAGTTGTTAAGAGTGCAACACAAAACTCACTATTTTTTAAAGGTCCAAATCAATATAACGCACTTCTAGAGAAAATTAAATCAGTAAGGTCTGTAACTACATATTTAAAGTCAAAGTGACAGATTTAATTAATGAATATTTCTCCAGAACCACTAACAACCTATAGAATTTTAGTTAATTTGTGTATTGTGATATTAGTAAACTAGCTAAATAAAGGAAATAATATTAATAATAAATACATTCTATAGAAAAATGTGTGATAGTTTTGATACTTTTGACTTGCAAGGGAAGAGAGTTATAGATTTTTGGTGCTACACATGTGGCTGCATCCTTATTAATAAAAGGGGCTCTATAATAATGTTCTTTACATGTATTATGTTCATTAAAAATGCATTGAAATAAATGTTGGGATGATCGAGAACATTTCATATACTTGTAGTAACTGAATAACTGTGAAAAGAATCATACAAACTCTTGAATTAAACAGTTTTATTCTATTCAAACATTTAATTCAAAAACTCCTATTAATTTAGATTTGATTGTTATAACTTGCAGTTTACTTAATATACACGGGATAATTTGAGATACCATGTTTAGTTGAGTAAATAAAACTATAATGCAGGTACACATTAAAACATATGTCCCCAATGTTACCACTTGAGTAGTTCATTAAATACAATTACATAAAACCTCGAACAAAACTATAACCAGCACACTTTACACAACATATGGCCTTAATGTTACCACTGGAGTAGTTATTTAAATAAAATGTATAACTTACCAAGAATAAGTGGTTCCTAAATCAATTCCAATAACAGTGCCTACTTCATCTTTTTCCTTTTTCTCGTCCTTCGAAGCCAGGACACTGGCGACGACAAGGAGCAAACCAAGTCCTAAATGTAACCTCATCCTGTGAGCTACCTATAGTAACGTCTGAAAAAGAAATTAAATTAATTTCACTTGTATAACGGTACAAAGTTAATGGATAAAGCGTTTACAAGTTTAACATAACTGTATACTGTAATCATGACACGTCATTCCGAAAATATAAAAAATATAGGTGTGTTTTTATTAAGCTGTCTCAAAGATATTTTTCTCAAAAAGTGAATATATAACATTTGAGCCTACTTAATAGTTTTGAATTCAAAATGAATAAATAACTTCTTACTGTGTAGATTGATCTAGAAAATCGCCGACAAAATCGGTAATAAAAATATATTATAAAGTAGTAAAAGTAATATATGTACATTTAAAATACTATTTAATTGAAACTTACTTCACAATTAATCTAATACAGTTGTAAAATCACTATTTTTTCACTAAAATAAACCATACAAATTTACGCTTTAAACTTCTTTGACAAACTGAGATGACTTTTGGGAGAATGTCAGAAATATAGGATGTGTTAACACTCGTGTTGGCTTTTGATTGGTTATAATTCGAACGAGGCAAGCGATGGTTGGTGGAAATCACTCTCGTTGGCGTCATTCTATTGGTCCAACACATATAATTCGCTTTTGAGAGTATTCTAGAGCGTACGTTTTGAAGATATACGTGTCCTTTTCATTGGAAAATGATGCAACGTATGTTATGTATCGTTTCGGATTATGTCTGACAGCGCGGGTGTTTTGAATTCAAACTTTACTTCTTAAACACGAAATTTTTTTACTTTTTAAAAAAGGAGGAGGTTCTCAATTCGTCGGAATACGTTTTTTTATGTATGTTCAGCGATAATTCTTTACTACGTTGTCCGATTTCTATGATTATCTTTTTGTTAGAAAAGGGCTAATGAGGTCCATAAGAAAATCATCAAACTCTTCAATTTTTATGTATTTTTAGCGATAATTCTTTACCAAATTGTCGGATTTCTATGATTATTTTTTGTTAGAAAGGGGATACCTCAAGAGTATACAATATTGGTCAGGATCTGATGATCTATGAGAAAATCAAAAATCTCATTTTTTAAGGGCATCTACACGATTAAGAAGTTGGTTTTTTAAAACTACTTTTTAACCGACTTCAAAAAAAGAGGAGGTTCTCAATTTGTCGAAACATATATTTTTTTTTTCTTTTAAGTAGAAAGTTATAAAATGTGTAATAGTAAAAGTGTAGAAAACTTGTTTTTACAACACCCCTACTATTAGGCAACCACCATTACATCGTTAACGTCGTGTATTCCATGTTGCCGAACGCCCCACATAACATCAGTTCTATGAATATATGAATGAACGTTCTGTTTATGTTCTATTTAGTATGTCCTTTCTAGAATGTACCTCATGTTCTGAAAATGTTCCAAATGCTTGCAGGTAAAAAGTAACACCAAATACATGTAAAAACACGTTTATTTACATATCTATATGAATTTTTCCCAGATGCCGATCTAAATAATTCGCTAACAAACGCACCAATGTTGAGTGGTAGCTTAGAGCATTAAGAGTATTAGGCCAAAAAATATTTACAATCTTCTTCTTCTTTTCTTCTATTAAGATTTGCCGCGTTTGAGAATACACATCGGATGCATCTGAGATGTTGTGAATTTTTTATCACGTGATAGAGAATTAGATCTGAATGTAGATGTAATAAACAAACGCTCTAGACTTTATTTGGTCATGTGATAAAATGTCAATGACAAGTTAGAAGTTTATAATTATTAAATTTGACTTTTGAGACTGCAAATCAACCTACATTTGAAATATAAACAAAAATTAAACAAACTAATCATTTTTATATTCATGCTAGCATAAACAAAAAATAAATTGACAAACTTGGCTTCACAGAACATTTACTTTCTGGCATGGAACGAACATCTCATTCACATCTCATTTCAAATCGAGATGTAAAAAATGTAATCTGAACAGGTACATCTGGGATAAACAAACGCAGATGTAGATGTAGTAGATGTGGATAAAAAAAACGCTCGAGATGTAAAAAATGCATCCTATGTGGATTCTCAAACGCGGCAATTGATGTTATGTGGGGCGTTCGGCAACATGGAATACACGACGTTAACGATGTAATGGTGGTTGCCTAATAGTAGGGGTGTTGTAAAAATAAGTTACTTTGGAGCCTTTGTTTTATCACTATTTCTAAGCTAATAGAGTTATAAACTTCAAAATTTCAGAAAATATTTATGAAAAGCCTAGAAATATTATTCTGCAAACAATTTTTTTAAAATTTTAACAGCTTTTAAAGATAGTGAGTATCAAATTTGAATCCCTCTTTGTTTATAGTTGATATTGGAGCATTTGTTTCGTCACTATTTCCAAACTAATAGATTTATAAACATCAAAATTTCAGAAAATATTTATTAAAAGTGTAGAAATATTATTCTGCAAACAATTTTTTTTTATTTTTAACAGCTGTAGTTGATATTGGAGCTTTTGTTTCGTCACTATAATAATAATATAATAATATATCTTTATTTTTATATGAATAATACATAAAAAACAAGTCAAGGTACATGAGTATATAAATAAAATAAGCGACAGATATAATAGTAATAAAATAAAATACGAATCAAATAATAATAATGAAAATTACGGGGTGGGTGGCTCAGTGGTAGAATCTCTGCCTGTGGATCAAAGGCTCCCAGGTTCGAATCCCACCGTTGGCCGGAATTTTTTCATTTAATTTAATTATTTAAAATTAATTCTGATACCTTGGTAGGATTCCCCACTCGACCATTCACTGTTGGGTTCTAATTAACAGTGCTGTTCATAAAGTGGAGCTGGGAAACAGTAACAAAACCTACACAGAACACGAGGCGAAATAACCTTAGCAGTTGAAGCCGATGACACAAAAAAAAATGAAAATTAAGATTAGCGACAGTTATACCCAGACAGCACACCAAATCCTTTGGATATCTACTGAACATCCCAATATCCACTGAATGTCCAGTCCATGGTGAATATCTATTTTATAACCATGAGCTGTAATTTATAGACATGCAAATGTCCATAAATAATAGTAATTATATAGCAAATTATTAAAAAATTACGCCATTGTGGCTAATAGTACCGTTCAGATATTTAAAATTAATTTTTTTAAGGTGTATTCAATATCCCATGGACATCCACTAAATATATCAAAGTCTAGGCACGAACGCAAACCATCGCGCGTGGATGTCCACTAAATTTTGCTTACTAAGTATAGATGGCGATACCACTTTCGCATCTACTCATGCTCAACCCGGCGTAATTGAGTTCGATCGAAATTTGTATATTATCAGACTCCATTAGAGACTGGAGTCGAGAATTTCCATTTATTGCTGAAGAGTCCTAATAAGGATGACTTTCTCCTTAGTGGGCAAAATTAAAGGCAGAGTATTGAAAATATTTTTTATCTCTGCTATTTTTTTTCGACGTAATTCAATAATCATTGGTTACTTATGAACCTCTACTAAAGATACCCATAAAATATTTTGCTGAATATACGAATATCTTCTATATCCTGGGATATAGACGGACATTTGGATATCCATATTAGATCCACTGGATATATTGTATATCCACAAAATCTCTGGGATTTCTTGTATTGTCTGGAAGATACCCATTAGATATTTTGTTGGATATTCATAGGATATCTTCTATATTCTGGATATAGACGGACATTTGGATATCCATATTAGATCCACGGGATATTTTAGATATCCTGTGGATATATTGGATATCCACAAAAGATATCTCTGGAATTTGGTGTGTTGTCTGGGCAGCATCACCATCTGAATTGGTGTTACAAGTACCAACTTGATTGCTTCTTTTTTTCATGTAAAAATGTTTCTCATGTTGTTGATTTGAGGTAGTAGTTGTAAAACTGTATTTTGTGCTTGTACGTTTTTATCATTAGTTTCAGTCGTAGAAGAAATTGAGAGAATATCCTTTTGCCTATTTTTAAAGGTGTTGTTAGAAGGCCTAATGTTATTGTTGTTGATTGTAGCAGGAACAGTAAGTTGAATGGAGGAGCTGCTTAACAAAGTTAAGTTATGCTTCACAGCTGCATTATATTTTAAGGTATTAGATGGAGCATGAGTAAGAAGTTTTACCATATCTAGATTACTTTCTCGAAGCGTCTTGACTTTACTATTAATCTGGATAAATTCATCTTTTATTTCTTTGTTTAGTTTTCCAATTTCTTGTTTGATATATTGAGAGACAATTTTTTTAATACTATTGGTGGTCCCTTCTTTAACATTAGAGAGAGATGTAATGAGATTTGTTGAAAGTTCAGTTATGCTGTTATAGTCCAAGAGCTAGTAACACACATTCCATTAAGTGTTTGATACACTTTGAAATTTTGTAATTTGAAATCATTTGGATGGAAAAGCAGATATTAGATTAGTAGGCAGGATGTGTAAATATGCACCCCGGGACACAGGTACTGCGCATTATAGAAAGGCGTCGTAAAATATGACCCAAAAAGTGTTTGATTCAGAGGCCAACAAACAACAATTGAGAGGGTTTATAATTGATAAATCAACCCCAAAGTTGATTTTGTGTGTGTGTGTGTGTGTGTGTGCGTGTGCGTGTGCGTGTGCGTGTGCGTGTGCGTGTGCATGTGCGTGTGTGTGTATCCACCATAACTCATGAACCGATACACAAAAAAACACCAACTTTTAAACTTAAGCTTTGTTCCAGCGTCTAACAAACTGATTAGATTTTAGGCAGAGTCGGAACATCTGGGGGGTACTTTATAGGTGGACATTTTTATATTTTATGGAATATATCTGTTATTTACATTTGGAGAAAAAAATCATTCAAATAAAAGTTACTTCTAATATTATTATCTATAATTTTTGCTTAATGTCAAAATTTCCTGAAATGGTCCGTATTCGAGAAATTTGACAAAATGTGCAAAATTCTGATTTTTATGAAAATTGTTGTACTAAAAGTTGTTTGCGATATCGATCTTTATAATTTTTGTTTATACATGATTTTTCTAAAATGGACGTAATGGAAAAATTGTAGAAAAAGTACTAAATTTAAATTTTTTAGTATTTTCGTTTTCAATGAATATCTATAGAAAAATGTTTCGAGGTAGATGTATGTGTAAAATGTATATATTTAGTTTATCCTCTAAACATTTATAGAGGTGCTGCAATAGGTTGTACAAAATAACCGGAAAAAGCCTATAATAACTAGATAGGAAAGTCATGTGTTGGACACATCAGATTTTTTTTTGTATGAACAAGTATCATCCACTATTTTCCATTTATTTTATATCTTAAAATATACGCACCCCTGGTTTACAACTTTCTAGGTAAGCTACCAATTCTATTCATATTAAATAATTTTCATATTCTCCCTACAGGAGGACATGCAGGTATAAATAGAATGTATAAAAATATCAAGAAGAGATATTTTTGGGGAGGTTTACGTAAAGATATCGAAACTT